CTTCTTCTTCTTCTTCTTCTTCTTCTTCTTCTTCTTCTTCTTCTTCTCCTCCTCCTCCTCCTCCTCCTCCTCCTCCTCCTCCTCCTCCTCCCCCTCCTCCTCCCCCTCCTTTTCTTCCTCCTCCTTCTCGTTTCTTCTTTGTGCACTACTACTTAACAAACTGCAGCCAACAACCCAACAACAACAAACCACATCTCTCAGGGCCCTAGCATTTATAGGGCCCTCTGAAAAGTCTCCAGAATTCCAGACGTCACACAATCACAGAACCTATCTGCAGCTGGCAAAACCACACCTCTGCTAGAGCACAGGGCAAATCATAGTCAGCTGCAAAGCAGCCCCATACCCCATGCCTGGGATTAGAACAAAAACATATTCTATAATGTTTTCTTTTTTCTTTTTTTAAATTTCATTTTCTGTGCATTAGTGTGAAGGTATCTGATCCCTTGGAATTGGGATCACAGACAGTTGTGAGCTGCCATGTGGGTGCTGGGAATTGAACCCCGGGCCCTTTGGGAGAGCCATCTCTCCAGCCCCCTGGAGAGATTCCAAAATTCTCATTATAGTCCAGGGCTGGGGAGGTCATAGAAGGGACTATGTATTTTTAATTGATTTTTTATTTTATGTGCATTGGTGTTTAGCCTGGGTGTATGTCTGTGGGAGGGGGTCGGACCTTGGAGTTACAGTTGTGAGCTGCCATGTGGTGCTGGAGTTTGAACCCAGCTCTTCTGGGAGAGCAGCCAGTGTTGGTTTTGTTTTGTTTTTCAAGACAGGGTTTCACTTCTGTAGCCTTGGCTGTCCTGGACTCTCTTTGTAGACCAGGCTGGCCTCGAACTCACAGAGATATGCCTGCCTCTGCCTCTCCGAGTACTGAGATTACAGGCAAGCCACCGCAACTGGCTTAGCCAGTGCTCTTGATGGCTGAGCCATCTCTCCATCCCCAGGTTTGTGTATATAATAATAATATTATTATTATTATAATTATTATTATTATAGGTTTTTGAGACTGGGTTTCACTGTGTAGCCCTGGCTGTCTTAGAACTTCCTTTGTAAAAACCAGGCTGGCCTCAGACTCACAGAGATATGCCTGCCTCTGCCTCCCAAGTACTAGGATTAAAGGCTTGGGACATCATGCCTGGATTTCTGTTTGTTTTTATTTCATTTGGTTGATTGGTTGGTTGGTTGGTTGGTTGGTTGGTTGGTTGGTTTTGGTTTTTTGAGACAGGGTTTAGCCTTAGCTGTGTGTAGCCTTGGCTGTCCTGGACTCACTTTGTAGACCAGGCTGGTCTCGAACTCACAGAGATCCCTCCCCTCCATTCCCACCCCCCGCCTCCCGAACAGAGTGTTGGGATTACAGGCCTGCACCACTATGCCCTGCTCTGGTTTGGTTTTTAACCCATTGAAGATAAACATAACTGTGTTATGTAAATGCAAGGCTCCTGCGTTCTAGGAAAGTACCAGTACTGAGCACACCACAGGCCCCTCAGTGGGGGAGTCTAGGCCAGCGCTCCACCCCTGGGCCACACCCCCACGTCTGCACCCGTGAATTCTCAGTAAATGCTTTAGCACAGAGCCAGGCCTTCCACCCCACTGGCCAATTCTAAGCAAGTGTTCAGCTACAGACCAGCTAAGACTTCACATTTATTCCGCGTGGGTTGGGAGGCTCACAGCTCCCCCTAGCTATGCGTGGGAATGGCTTACTGTTCACGGAGAAGTGTGTAGCTGGTCTTGGGAATGTGGGGAACCTGAGCCGAGACTCCAGATGGAGCCTAGCCTGAGCGGCACAGAGAAACCGACACACCACGTGTGGTGCCCCCAGGAATCCCCGGTCCCCTGAGACCTTCTCCAGTTTCCTCCTCTGCCGTGGCCATGTTTTGTTTGGACCACAGCTCCCGGTTCCTAGCCCTGCCTGGGGTAGTAGGTGGGGCGGGGAAAGCTGACTAAGGGAGCCCTCCTGCCGCCTCCTCAGGTATTGACCTCGTGGACATGGCCTCAGAGTTCCTGCAGCCCTCGGGCGACGATGCGGCCCGCATCGCCTGGTACCTCCGAGACCTCATCAGCCAGTACCAGAAGACCTTCACTGTCATCGAGAAGGTGACGCTGAGGGCTGGGTGGCCCCCTCCGCCTGCCCTCCTCTGCCAGCTCTGACCCCAGTTCTCCTTGCCTGTCCCAGTGCCCCAAGCCGGTGATCGCTGCCATTCACGGAGGCTGCATTGGCGGAGGTGAGTCTGTGTCACTGGCTACCACATGGGTGCCAGCTCACGGAGAGGGTGCTGCCCCCCCCCCCCCCGGCCAGTGGCCTTGGCTCAGCCGTTGCTGATTAGACTTGGTTCTCCCGGTTCGGCCCCACGTTCTGGAGGAGGGGTTGGCTCCTGTCGTTATTCGTGGTCCCCTTTTCCCCCCAGGTGTGGATCTCATCTCAGCCTGTGACATTCGCTACTGTGCCCAGGATGCTTTCTTCCAGATCAAGGTGAGCTGCTTCCCTGAGCTCCTGACTGCCCGAACCCCTGCAGTGCTGGGCGGCCACAGAATGGGGCAGAGCAGGGATAGTGCAGGCCAAGGCCGCCCGTCCTGAGGGCTTCCCGGAAGAAGGTGTCAGAACCAAACCTTAGGAAACAAGGCTCAGGCAAAGGCTGGGTGTGGAGAGGCACAGCCATAGTCTCAGCACCCCGGAGACTAAGGAAGCTCAGGCTCTAGCTACCGTGAGTGACAGGTGCCTAAGGCAGCCTGGGCTATTGCGTGAGCGGTGGGGCGTTATGGTTTCTTTCTTCTGTTACTGTGATAAAATACTTGGAAAAGCAACTTAACAGAGAAAGGGCTTATTTTAGCCCACGGTTCAAGGTATGTACGTACAGTCCATCACAGCGGGGAAGTCAAGGCAGTAGGAGCCTGAAGCCGTTGCTCACCTCCCCTCTGCAGTCAAGAGAGGGCAGTGAAGGTTGGTGCCCAGCCCAGCCCACCCCACGATTCCACCTAGCTGCATCAATTCATGCAGTCAACATAGTACCTTGCCGACACTCCCAGAGGCCAGCTCTAGATTCTGGCAGCCCGACAGTAAACTCTGGCCGGCACACAGACCAACCTGGGCCACACAGTGAGACCCTGTCAGAATGGAGGCCGGCGCTGCGGGTGTAGGAAGCTCAGTGGTCCAGGGCATGGGTGAGAGAAAGCTCTGAGTCGGCCCTGCCCAGCGCCAAAAGGAGAAACAGCCTTCTTTGTAGAGGATGTCACTGTGGGCGCTCCCATCCGTGAGCTGGTGGTCTGCAGTACAGAGTTTGGGGACTGCGGCTGGCTGTGCCTGAGAGGGTAGGGGGTGGAAGGAGCCTGGGGTTCTGGGAAGGGCCATGTGAGCAGCAGGGAGGGCCGGGTAGTGACCGCATCCCGAGGCTATCTGAGCTGGAGGTGGGAAAGCCTCCGTGGGCAGTGCGTGAGGCCCTGAGCTTGCCCGGGGGATGATAGCAGGCGCAAAGCAAGCACTGCCGAGCACTTCCCTCTAGGAGGTGGACGTGGGCCTGGCCGCCGACGTGGGGACCCTGCAGCGACTGCCCAAGGTCATCGGGAACCAGAGGTGAGCGGGGTGACCTGTGGAGGAGGGTCAGCCCAGCTTCTTCCAGACCGGATGACGGGGTCCCTCATCTGCCCTCTTCTCCTGTAGCCTCGTCAACGAGCTGACCTTCACCGCTCGCAAGATGATGGCTGATGAGGCCCTGGACAGTGGGCTGGTCAGGTAGGACCCTGACTGGCTGGCCGATGGGAGGGGAGGCGCACAGGGCCATCGGGGTGAGGTCGGGGCTCGTGTGGTCCCCTGTATTCTCACTCCAGAGACCAAATGGTCTTTCTCAGGGCAGCCGTTTCTTCCGTTTCTTCCTCCGAACATCACACGGTGGGTGGTTGGGCCCTTTGTCTGGGGTTTCCTGTTTGCTCTGTGAGGCCACCTGGCCATGCAGAGGGGAGTGGGAGGGTGTTCCCCTCACCTACTCCTTTCCCCGGCAGCCGGGTGTTCCCAGATAAGGACCTCATGCTGAATGCAGCCTTTGCCCTGGCCGCTGATATTTCCAGCAAGAGCCCTGTGGCTGTGCAGGGGTCAAAAGTCAATCTAGTCTACTCCCGAAACCATTCTGTGGATGAGAGCCTTGACTACATGGTAAGGCCCTGCCTATGGCCAGGTGGAGCCGCTGGGCTCGGGGGATCGTTCTGCTGGGGGGGCACCTGCGGGTACACACACCGCCCCTGACTGGTGCTCTGGCACCTGCGGGTACACACACCGCCTCTGACTGGTGCCCTGCCCGGCTGCCCTTCTTTCCAGGCCACCTGGAACATGAGCATGCTGCAGACCCAGGACATCATGAAGTCAGTCCAGGCAGCCATGGAGAAGAAGGACCCCAAAAACGTCACTTTCTCCAAGCTCTGAGCGCCTTCCAGGCCCTGACGGAGGAAGGCCCAGTGAGGTCAGAGTGGCCGGCTTCTCCAGCGTGGTCTCCAGTGTATGGCTTTAGGCTTCGGTCCGGGCCTTACCTTCACTGTGAATGCTAGCGCTTGAACACGGCTGTGAACAATAAAGTTTGAACACGGCACGGTGTCTTCGCTGCAGTGGGTGGGGCCTTCCCGGCCCCAAGGACGGCAGCTGCGGAGGCTGGCAGGCTGCTCACTGGGCCAAGAGGAAGTGTGCAAGGAGAAGGCTGGAAGGCCACACCTGTTCCCTGCGCCGGGCCCCCACCAAGTGAGCTGGGGCACGGCACAGCATGGCGCCCCACAGAGGGTTCTGGGGTTGGGCTGAGCTCACTGCTCCCAGTCCTGAGCCAGCTGCCTCCCTCGTTTCTTTCTCCTTCCTAGTTCCTTGCTGCCCCCCCCCCCCCTTTTAGCCACAGACTCTCGATGTGTAGCTGAGAATGACCTTGGACTCCTATTTACAGATGTTCATCACCACATCTGCCTGACTGCATATGTGTGTGTGTGTGTGTGTGTGTGTGTATTTTTTTTTTTTTTTTTTTACTGTGGGTTTTGTTACCCATGAATAATCTCAGCGTTCTGGATTTGTGTTTGGAATGGGTGTAGGAAGCCACACATCCCAGGCTCGGCCTCTGAGCTCTTTTCCGCTGTCTTGGCTTTACTTTGGGCCGTGTCTGGGTGTCTCCAGTGTGTGCCTCAGCCTTGGGTGGCAATCCCCAGCACCATGGGTGTTTGGCCTGTACGTATGCGCCGCACACGCGCGCGTCACCCACAGGGGCCCAGAAAAGGGTGCTGGGTTCCTGGGACGGAAGTTACAGATAGAAGCCACTGTGTGAGTCCTGCTCCGTGGGAGGGTAGCTGGTGCTCTTAGCTGCCGTCCTCAGCCTGAGGTGTCTAGGTTTTCGAGACAGGGTTTCTCCGTGTAGCCCTGGCTGTCCTGAAACTCGCTTTGTAGAGGAGGCTGGCCTCAAACTCACAGTGATCTGCCTGTCTCTGCCTCCCAAGTACGGGGATCACAGGCGTGCGCCATCCCCTGGCTTCTCTTATTTTTGAGACAGTCTTTCTACGTAGCTCTGGCCGTCCCAGACTATGCAGACCAGGCTGGCCTCGACCTCTCAGAGGGCTGCCTTCCTCCGTCTCCTAACTGCTGGGATTGAAGTCACTGCCACCATGCCTGGCTTTCATGTTTTATTTTTTAAGGCAGGGCCTTGCTCTGCAGACCAGGCTGCCCTGAGCTTGCAGATAATTGTGCCCCTGCGTCCCGAGTGCTGGGATTAGTGGCACATTCTTGGTTTGCCCTTGGGTTTGACTTGTTTGTTTTTGGGTCAGGAGCTCGTGCAGCCCACCTGGCCTGAGTTCCCTGTCTGGTGGTGGGTGACTGAGCCCCCCCTGGAACGTCCTGGCTGGGGACCTTGGAATCGGGCACACATCAGCACACTCAGTGTATGTGGTGCTGGCTATAAACCCAGGGTTTCCTGCGGGCCGGGCACGCATTCGGTCAACGAAGCTAACCTCAGACTTGCAGCAATTCTGCCTCAACCTTCCACGGGCGGGGGTTGCCAGTGCCAGCGACCGCTTTGTGAGTTTATTTCAAGAATTCATGATGGGGGTACTATCCAGTTAACCACATCACAGGTGGGCAAACCACGAGGAGGTGCTGACTCTGGAGAGCCGGGAAGCGGCGAGGGCGGAAGGAACTGGAACCCAGAACCTGTGGCCCCAGCTGTGTGTACTAAGCCTGGCCTCCAGGGTGTGGGGTCAGGAGACACATGGGTTCTCTCCTGTCATTCTGGCCTGCCACTACTGCCCACCTGTCCATGCATTTCCTGTGGCCCAGCCCCTGCCCTGCCCACCCCACCCTCCCTCCCTCTGCCAACAGTCCTCAGGGCAGGGCTTTATGGTTCCGATAAAGCCTTGAAAGGACAAAGTCCACGGATCCTTCCTCGTTGCGGGGGACCTGGGAGGGTCAGCACGCTGCCAGGAGGGGAGCCTGGAGACCTCTCCCTGGCAGCCTCGCCCTGTGCTATAAGGGCCGCTGCACCCCGCCGGCCCTTTCTCACTCCCTCTCCTCTCTCAGGACACGCTCTCAACCCAGAGGCTCAAGATGGCCTATGTCCCAGCCCCCGGCTACCAGCCCGCCTACAACCCAGTGAGTCGCCCGCTGGGCCCGCACCCCCTCTTCCCCGGCCCCTCACCCCGAGTTTCCCCTCCCTGCTGAAGGGTTCGAGGGGAGGGCGGGCCGGCTCTGATGCTCCTCACCCCCCTCTGCAGACCCTGCCGTACAAGAGTCCCATCCCAGGCGGCCTCAGCATCGGGATGTCCGTCTACATCCAGGGGATGGCCAAGGAGAACATGAGGCGGTGAGCCGCCCCCGCCCCCACCCCCACCCCGCTCGCCCTACCTGCTGCCGGGCACCGCAGGGAGCAGGAACCCAGTGTTCACAGGTCCCTCTGGCTGCTTCTGGGGGCACAGATGGCCTGTGGGGACAGAAAGGAGGGTGAAGAAAGAAAGCAGGGGAGGGCTCTGCAGAAGGGGCTGAGCGGGTCGCATGGAGGTTGGCTAGGAGAGGTCACCATGCGGCCCCACGGCTGGACCACCACCCCGAGGTGACAGATTTGAGAGAGTAGGCTCACAAGGCCAGAGTCGCACGCTGAGGCACCCCCCCGCCCCGCTGTGGGGGCCACTCAGCAACTGTGTGGCTCAGAGAGCGTCCGGGCCTCGCTGGGGGCCTCGCTGGGCTTCAGCTTCCCTTCTGTAAGATGATTGTCAGGGTTCAGCGTGCAAAGGGAACGGTCCGCCCACGAAGGCTTGGCTTTCCTTGCTTCAACCTGGTAATTGAGCGTCCCGGGCTCCTTATTTCCTTATTGTTTTTAGTGTGCATGTGTGTGCAGAGTGTGTGTGTGTGTGTGTGCGCGCGAAGAGTGTGTGTACGTGTGTGCGAGTGCGCGTGAGAGGGCATGTGTGTGTCAGGCAGAGGTTAGCCTCGGGTGTGTTCATCAGGCACCGTCTTTGTGTGTGTGCACAGGTGTGTGTGTGTGTGAGAACATGTGTGTGTGCAGTGTGTGTGTGCATGTGGAGGGCAGAGGCCAACCTCAGGTGTCACCTGGTCCGAGCCAGCGGGCTTGCCCTGTGGCGCTGGCCTGCCCGGGCCTTCCCGCGTAGACCGGGCTGGGCTCTAGGGCACTGGCCGCTCTGCCTCCCTGGAGTAAAGACGCGTCCCCGCAGCTGGCCTACCCGGTGCCTCCCGGGCCGGAACCTCCCCCTGGGCCCCAGAGCGCGTTGGTTAGGCTGGCTGGCCAGTGAGTGTGAGGCCCACCTTTCCCTGGGTCGGTTGCATGGGGGAGGGGTCCCTCCAGCACCCCCATTCCTGCCTCTTTGTCTGGTGTTAAACACCACACCTAACCCCGGGGCGGTGGGCAGGACAAAGACCTCTGCCCTCCTGTGGTGTGTGCCTGAGAGCCCTGCACTCCCTCGGCCTCAGCCGTGGCAGGAAGACCACAGTGAGAGGCCAGCCTGGGCTACACTGTCCCCCACCCTCCACCCGCCAAAGGGAAAAATGAGAAAAGAAAGAGTCTTTCTCTCATTGACTTGCCCCATCGTTGAAGAGGCTGTGAGGAGGAGAAAGGGGGGTGGGCACGGGGCTCTGCACAGGAACTCAGGGACTCACCTCCTCCAGCTGGGTGAGCGAGGTCAGAGCTCGCTGTGGAGGGCGGCACGGCGCCCGGCAGGCAGGCGGCCCTTTGAACCAGCCCTTCGTGCCCCCAGGTTCCACGTGAACTTTGCTGTGGGGCAGGACGACGAGGCAGACATTGCCTTCCACTTCAATCCCCGCTTCGATGGCTGGGACAAGGTGGTCTTCAACACGAAGCAAAGCGGGCAGTGGGGCAAAGAGGAGAGGAAGAAGAGCATGCCCTTCCAGAGGGGCAGCCACTTCGAGCTGGTGTTCATGGTCTTGGCGGAGCACTACAAGGTCTGAGCCCTGCTCCCTGCAGCCCCCTTCCTGCAGCCCCTCTCTCTCCAGCCCTCCCCTCCCTGAAGCCCTCCCCTCCCTGAAGCCCTCCCCTCCCTGCAGCCCTCCTTCCAGGCGGCCACCACTGTGAGCTGACTTTGAATGTCAGTTTGTGCTCTGGTCCCTAAGTTTTCCCACCTGTGAGGCTCTCCCAGAACCCTGCAAATACTCTGGACTTCAAATCAAGAAGCTCCTTCGGGCCTGGGGAAATGGCTCCCCCTAGAGAGTGCTGGCCGCTGAGGCGCAAGCTTCAGACCTGAGTTCCACCCTGACCATGTGACACGGGCGCTTCCCAGGCAGCGGGCTGCGGGAGGGGCAGCAGGCCTGAAATCCAGCTCTGGGGAGGCCCAGACAGGGATCCTCGGGGCTTGCAGCCGGCTAGCCTAGCCCCCTTGACAACTGCCAGGCTCGGTGAGAGAGCCTGTTTCAAAAACCAAGGTAGATAGATGGTACTGAGTACAGCATGCATGGCTGACCATGGCTGACCTCGGCTGGCGCATAGTTTCGCACACGTGTTCACTGCACGTCTGTGGACACACACACACACACACACACACACACACACACACTGAATGAGTAGATGCAATCCATTTCTTCCTTCCCCAAGTCCCGTGCCAGCCATGGTGCTGCTGTCTCATGCCTCCTCTCTGCCCTCCAGGTCATGGTAAACGGAGACCCCTTCTATGAGTATGAGCACAGGCTGCCCTTACAGATGGTCACCCATCTGCAGGTGGATGGGGACCTGGAACTCCAGGCGATCAACTTCCTCGGAGGCCAGCCTGCCCCAGCCCCGTATCCGGTACGGAGTGTCTCCTCGTTTGCCTGTTTGACTCAGTCTCACATTCGTTACTGGGTTCCCACTCCGAGTTCCTTTGGGACCCAGCGGTGACCAGGATGGTCCACCAGGAAGATAGACATATGAGCAGACAGGCATGGCTCCCAAAGACAGGACCGCAAGAAGGGGTACAGTAGAGGGAGGGGCAGGGTCGAGATAAGGAGGCTCAGGCAGAAGACTCAGAGGAGGTGTCCTGAGCATCCACAGGTAGGATCTGGCTTGGTGGAGAAGGCCTTCCAGGAGGAGAGGTGTGTAAACCCAGTCACCAGAGTGAGAAAAGCAGTGGAAGAGTCAAGTGTTGAGGATTAGCAGACAAATCCAGGAGAGGCTGCTTAAGGCAGCAGTCACCCGGGAAGCAGAGCCACCCTGACTGGCCGCTGCAGAGCCGTCGGGGCATGCTGCAGCACCACCGGGCCCATGGGCAGACGTGTCGCTTGCTGGCACAGCTCCCACACGGCTGTTCAGAGTGTAATTTGGTGCAATTGTCTCGGAACTTGGCCAGAGGAGATAGCTCCGAAAGCCAAGAAAGCACGGGTCCCTGTACCAGAAGCCCCGCACCCCGGTAGTACACAGCCTTCGAAAAGCCAAGGACACACCCCCACAGCAACAAAGCGGCCTGCCGCTTCCAGAGTCTCAAGTTGAAACTTGCTCAATGGTAGGGCACCTGCCCAGCACCCCAACGAGGAGCTCGGCTCGGCTATAGTAAGCTAACTTAGGGTGGGAGATGAATTCCTGAGTTTCTTTCTCAATACCAACCCGGTAGGCAACAAAAGCCCAAAGCTATCATCCAGGGGAGGGGGGCTGGAGGGATGTCGGGGAAGAGCCTCACAGTACAGGGTGATGGGGGCACACGCCTTTAATCCCAGTACTTGAGAACCAGAGGCAGGTGGATCTCTGTGAGTTCAAGGCCAGCCCAGTCTACATAGTGAGCTCCAGGACAGCCAGGGCTATAGAGTGAGACCCTGTCTTGAAAAAAACCCACAAGAGCTGGGAGCAGCACTCTGGGAGGCAGAGGCAGAAGCAGGCGGATCTCTGAGAATTCGAGGCCAGCCTAGTTTACAAAGTGAGTCTAGTGAGCCACGGCTGCATACACAGAGAGACCTTTTTTTCAAAACAAAACAATAAAACAAAAAGAAAAGAAAAGAAATCCAGAAGGATCTGGGTTCAGGTCCCACTCCTGATAGGGTCACAACCATCTGTAGTTCTAGTTTCAGGGGGTCTAAACCCTCCTCTGACCCCCACAGGCTCTGCACACACATGGAGCACAGATTCGTACTTTAGCACATACACATACGTTTAGCAGGTAAACATTTTAAAAATAAAAATTAAAGAGGATCAGCCTGTTCTTTGACAAGTGATGAATCCAAAAGATGAGTTCACCACCCAGAGGAGAGAAGGAACAGGTTCAGCTGCACAGTCATCAGCAGAGCGTGGACGTCAAACATGGAATCTAGCCCAGCACGGTGACCCCTGCCTGATCCCAGCAGCATCAGGATGCGGAGGCAGGATGCTCGCTGCAAAACGACCGGCCTGAGCCACATATCAAGACCTGACACATGTGTGTGTGTGTGTGTGTGTGTGTGTGTGTGTGTGCGCGCGCGCGCGCGCGCGCGCGCTGAGAGACAGAGAGATTAGGGATTTTGGAATAGGAGATAAAAAAAAAAAAACAAAGTCAGGCATGGTGGCACACACCTTTTTTTTTTAGTGAGGATTTATGTATGTTTTTATTTATATAATGTTCATCCTGCATGTACACCTGCAGGCCAGAAGAGGGCACCAGATCTCACTATAGATGGTTGTGAGCCACCATGCAGTTGCTGGGAATTGAACTCAGGACCTCTTAACCGCTGAATCATCTCTACAGCTCTATGGTGGTACACACCTTCATTATCAGCAGAGGCAGAGGCAGAGGCAGGAAGATCTCTGTGAGTCTGAGGGCAGCCTGGTCTACAAAGTGAGTTCCAGGACAGCCAGGGCTACACAGGAAACCAAACAAAACAAACCAAACAAAAAACTAACAACAACAAAACAGAAAGTGATGAGGGAGGGAAGGGGTTCCGGATGAAGAATACATCTGCACAGAACTGTGGCTCCAGGAGAGCCGAGCCACAGCCACTGGAAGAAATGTGAGCGAAGACCGCAGAGGGCCTGCTAGACGGGAACTCGGCTGGCCCCAGGACCGCGCCTTGCTCTAGATTTGGGTGTGTGAAGCGGGAAATAGGGTGACAGACAGGACCTCGGTCACCTCAGGCCAGGGAAGAACTAGGCTCCCACTTGCCTCTCAAATTCTGCTTCCTAGACTGATTGTAGGCTAGGGGGAGGCAAGAGGTGCATGGGGGCCTGGACACAAGGTTGTGGGCGGGGGACACAAAGAGTAGAATTTACCAGGCGCTTCCTAAAGCCACCGAGGCTCCGCTGGTCCCTCAGCACAGCAGGGCTGAACACCGAGTACCGAGGGCAGCCCGGGATTCTGCTCCGCGCTGGCAGTCTAGAACCCCGGGCCCGGCTGTGACCTCCTTTCCTCTCTGTACCTGCAGGGCACAGACTACCCCATGACTATCCCGGCGTACCCGTACCCTGTGAGTACCTGCTGAGGGGTGGACGGTTTCCGAAGAGGTGGAGGGCTAATGGCAGAGGAGGGACTCGCAGAGGACCCGCCTTCCCTCATCACTCTCCTGTCTGCCCTGTAGGCACCCGGGTACAACCCTCCACCCATGAACAGCCTGCCGGTAAGCGGGAGGGGCGAGGTGGGCTCGGGGAGGGGCGAGGTGGGCTCGGGGAGGGGCGGGGAGAGGGATGGAGACCTGTGGGCTGAGGGATGTGTCAGAGGTGCTGTGATAGCCCTTTCTTTGTAGGTTATGATGGGACCCCCAGTCTTCAATCCGGTATGCTGTTGCAGGGGCTAGCGGCTCTCTGAGGACAAGTTAAAGGGGAGCAGGGAATTGGGGAGCCCAGGAGGGGGAGACTGCGTGCGGGCTGCCGGTCTGGGGGTGCTGGTCAGGGTTCAGGAGGAGGTACGGTTGGGGACAGTTCACGGGCAAGATGCGAAAACGTGGCGGTGGAGCTGGCTTCTCCAATCAGAGACTGTTCTTTTTCTACAGCCTGTGCCATATGTGGGGGCCCTTCCAGGCGGGCTCACAGTCCGGAGAACCATCATAGTCAAGGGCTACATACTTCCCACAGCCAGGAAGTAAGCGCCAGGCTGAAGTGGGGCTCTCCCTCAGACCAGGGGTCCAGGCCCAGCCTTCCTCCTTTCTCAGACCAGGGGTCCAGGCCCAGCCTTCTCCCTCAGACCAGGGGTCCAGGCCCAGTCCTCCTCCTCCCTCAGACCCAGGGGTCCAGGCCCAGCCTTCCTCCCTCAGACCAGGGGTGCAGGCCCAGCCTTCCTCCTCCTCCCTCAGACCAGGGGTCCAGGCCCAGCCCTCCTCCTCCTCCTCCCTCAGACCAGGGGTGCAGGCCCAGCCCTCCTCCTCCTCCCTCAGACCAGGGGTCCAGGCCCAGCCCTCCTCCTTCTCCTTCCTCAGACCAGGGGTGCAGGCCCAGCCCTCTTCCTCCTCCCTCAGACCCGGGGATGCAGGCCCAGCCCTCCTCTCATGGAGCCTCAGATATTGGACCCCATTTAACACCTTATTTGTCTTCAGCTTTATCATCAACTTCAAGGTGGGGTTGTCCGGGGACATAGCTCTTCACATAAACCCCCGAATAGGCGAGGGTGTGGTTCGAAACAGCTTTATGAATGGCTCGTGGGGCTCGGAGGAGAGGAAGGTCTCCTACAATCCATTTGGCCCTGGGCAGTTCTTTGATGTGAGTCTTGGGGGAGACCCCTTCCCGCCCCCGCCTCCCGCAGACCCGGGTCCCGCTGGGTCTCACCTCTCTCCTCCCCCACAGCTGTCAATCCGCTGCGGCATGGATAGATTCAAGGTGTTTGCCAACGGCCAGCACCTTTTTGACTACAATCACCGGTTCCAGGCCTTCCAGAGGGTGGATGTGATGGAGATCAAAGGTGACATCACCTTGTCCTATGTCCAGATCTGAGCTCTTCCTGGGGGAGCAGAGAGACTCCCAGTTCCATCTAAGGCCCTAATAAAATGTCCAAGGGGTTTCATGTGTATGAGTGTGTGTGTGAGTGTGTGCGTGTGTGTGTTTGACATGGGGTTTTGGTAGGTAACATAGGCTGGCCTGAAGCCCTTCCAGAGATTTTCAGTTTTGTGTATATATATTCACACATGCATGTGAATCCTCTCGGGGGTCAAAAGAGGGAGTCGGCTCCCTGGGAGCTGGAGTTAAAGGCGGTTGTGAGCTGCCTGACGGGAGCTGAACTTGGGGTTCTCTGAGAGAGAAAGTTCTCTTAACTCCTGAGCCCCGCTCTCCGGATTTGGCCAGGAGCTCTCCTTTTTAGATTTACTTACTTTACCTTATGTGCACGAGTGTTTTGCCCACACACAAACATTTCATGTGTATGTCTGCTGCGCACATATGCCTACAGACAAGCTGTGGACCAGGCTCAGTGCCGGGAACTGAGTGAGCCTGGGCCTCTGCTGGAACACAGGTGCTCTGTATTGCTGCGTCGTCTCTCCAACCCTTGAAGAGTCATTTTTATTGTATTTATTTTTTAAATTCTGCGTGGGAGCCAGGTCTGGTAGAAGCTCCCATCTACAGCACTGTGCCTAACTTTTCTTTTTTTGACAAAACAGTTGCTATTTTCATGTTCCACTCTATGTTTTGTTTTGAGTTTTTTGAGGCAGGGTCTCTCTACATAGTCCAGACTGTCCTGGAACTCCCTATGCAAACCAGGCTGGTCCCGAACTCCTGAGTACCCCCGCCTCTGCCTTCCAAACGCTGGGATTAAAGGTGGGCTCCACCACTCCCACTCCCGGCTACTGGAGATTTTTTTTTTTTTTTTTTTGTCTGTGTATATCCACAAATAACATCAAATAACATCACTGTCACAGAACCATCACTGGGGCAATTTTTAAGAAATGTATTAATTCTTATTTTACCTGTCTGTGTGTTTTGGCGGTATGCATGTCTGTGTGTCACCGACATGCTTTGCTCACAGAGGCCAGAAGATGGTGTCAGATACTCCAGAACTGGAGTTACACGTGGTCGTAAACTGTCACATGGTTGCTGGGAATTGAACCTGGGTCCTCTGGAGGACAGCCAGAGTGTTCAACCACTGAGCCGTATCTTAGCTCTGGCCCTACTCCACTGTAACTTAGTTCCCTCTGCCTGCCTAAGACAACTGAGCTGGAATGGACGAGGGCAGCCCTTCAGAGAGCCTGCTCACCCTCGGATCACGGCTTCCTTACATGATGCCAAACAGGTTTATAGAAACAGCCAGAAAGAGCTGCGAGATAGCAGTTCCGGGTTAAAATGAGCGCCTCCTGCACAAGTGGAGGTAACTTGTAGGGATTCTAAGCTGCCGGTAAAAATGCCGGTAAAAATGCCGGCACTGGGGCGAACAGCGCCCCTAGTCCCTACGAGCTGTTGACCAAGGAGGCTGTCTTAGCCGCTGTCTGGGAAGGGATCAAGGTGACAGAGAGAGGCGTTTAACTGGAAGCCTGCCCACAGTTTCAGACTTACTCCGTTAGCCTGGCGGGAAGAGCGGTGTCATGCAGGAAGGTGCAGGGGCGTTAGCTGAGAGCTACATTCTGAAACTTCAAAGCCAACACTTCCTCCAACGAGGCCACACCCTCCTAATCTTCCAGTCCTTTCAAACAGTGCCATTCCCTGGCGACTAAGTATTCGAATATATGAGCCCATCAGGGTCACTCTTATTCAAATCATCAGGGAGGTCCCTGAAGTCCAGCAAACCGTTAAGCCCATTGATACTGACGTCACTTACCTATGTGGCAGAAAGAGATGGTAAACTGCTGAAGACACCACACACTACGGTTGAAGGACACTGAGAAATCAGGGACCAGGACGGAAGCTCTCTCCCTGCTAGCTGGTTCGTTCTTCCTTCCTTCCTTCCTTCCTTCCTTCTTTCTTTCTTTCTCTCTCTCTCTCTCTCTCTCTCCCTTTCTTTCTTTTCTTCCTTCCTTCCCTCCCTCTCTCTAACTTCATTTTTCTTTTTCTTTTTTTAAACATTTTTTTAAAGATTTATTTATTTATTATGTATACAGTGTTCTGACTGCATGTACACCTGCACTCCAGAAGGGGGCACCAGACCTCATTATAGATAGTTGAGAGCCACCATGTGGTTTCTGGGAATTGAACTCAGGACCTCTGGAAGAGCAGCCGGTGCTCTTAAACTCTGAGCCATCTCTCCAGCCCCTGCTTTTGTTTTTCAAGACAGGGTTTCTTGGTGTAATAGTCTTGGCTGTTCTGGAACTTACTTTATAGACCGGGCTGGCCTCAAATTCACAGAGCTCTATCTCTGCCTCCTGAGTGCTGGGATTAAAGGCATGTGCCGCCACACTCGGTCGCTAGCTGGTTTCCATAGTGTTAGACTACGTCATCCAGGCCTCTGGGAGAGAATTTTCACCAGCAATCCTGCTCTGCCTTGTGCTACAGTACCAACACGCAAGACAAGCTGCACCTGGTGGCACAGTGTTGTGGGTGCAGCTGCTCACTCTTCAGGGAGGAACGCACACCGATACTGTAAGCTGGAGCAGAAGCCTGTGGCAGTGCCAGCATGAACTCGCCCCTGTTGTTCTATTCCAATGTCTGCGACGAGTCTGCCGTGCTCCTTCAGGCATTTCTGCTCACGCTCACACTTTACTCTTGCTGCCGGTTGTGGGGAGACAAGCTCACCCAAGATGTTCTCAGAGGCCTTGATGGGCAGGCAAAGGTGGCACTAGCTCTGTGTGTCCTTGTCTCAGAGGGGATTTGGCGAGGCCAGGAGAGAGCGAGGGCCTTGAAGGAGTTACAGTGTGTAATCTGCTGACGCAACTTCTCCCCCGGGCTGTGGTTCGGCCCTAAGAAAGGCGTGTCTGAGATATCTCGCGCTCTCTGTGCCAGCATTGTCTGACTTAGCTCTCTGCTGACCTCGGCCATTTCCCCCATTTTCCATAGGCTGCTGTACTTCTCAGCAAACTTGCTTGTCATAAGTCATCAGCTTATGCAAGACCTCCTGGTCCCAGATATTGCTTTTATCTTATTTCTTTCTCAGCCCTGATCTTCCAACTTGACACCTCACTGCTCAGAACCATTATCCCTATGGACTTGAGTCCATCAGCTTTGGTTCACCGTGGAAGGAAATTTCTTTTTTGGCACTGGGAAGTGTGCTGAAGAGATTCATAACTGTTCAGTACCCTGGGACTGATGGCTGCTGTGGCACAATAGCTTAATACCGAGCTGTGGATGAAGGAGAATAATCAGCCAATCACGTGACTTCATGCAAGGCTGAGGGAACACTGTGGAAGAGTTGTCAGAAAAAAACTGTGAAAGCCAGAGGAAAAGGTGGGATGTTACATAGACATTTTCTTGAATTGAGACTTTCCATTCTAGAGGGAGGATCCATAAGATTCATGAAGCACAATGGGCTGGAGAGATGGCTCAGAGGTTAAGAGCACTGTCTGTTCTTCCCAAGGTCCTGAGTTCAGTTCCCAGCAACCACATAGTGGCTCACAACCATCTATGGTGAGATCTTGTACCCTCTTCTGGCCTGCAGGGACACATGGAGGCAGAACACTATATAAATAATAAATGAATCTTTTAAAAAAGATTCGTGAAGTACAAAACTGATAAAGCTTGGGAATTAACAACTTCTAAGTCTCAGGGAGTTCCTCAAACTTACAGGATTCACAAGACTTCTCCCAAAGGTAATATAAACAGCAACAGTCACTGGGGAGAGGGGACTCTCTGACTCCTTCATCTGTGACAGGGTGAGCATTTTGGTGATGGAGTTGCCTTGGAGTAAACTGTGATCCAGTGAGTGATCCCTTACCCATATTCCTTCTATAAGTTACCCCAATAAACTCATCCACTTACTAAGTTAGGCTTTGTGGAATTGTTTCTTTGGTCTGTTGTCGGTGTACTTCTGGAACGAATAGAAATTTATTCATTATTCTCCAGAAAAGGTTGGCTATTACGGAGGATGTTACAGATTCCTGGAGGATCAGTGAATGGACATGGGGTTCCGAGGATTAACCAGGGACCCCGAGGTTACCTTCAAAGCTCGAATTCCCAGAGAGACTTGAGGACCCGTCATGAAGTCAGCAGGAACAACAGTGAGGACATCAGCATTCACAGGGAACCCAAGACTGTAGTCATCAGACCCCAGGAACCCCTTGTCTGGTAACCAAAATGTGCATTTGATGCTCCCAGAGACACGGTTCCCTTTCTCCTGGGGTCTGGAATGTTACCTGCCAGGCTGGTCAGAGACAACACCCTAATTCTCATTCCATTGCTCATCCAGACAGCTCTGAACAGAGGTCTTCTGGGGAATAATCTACAAGGTTTGAGTGGGGGAGGGCACAGGAAACAGGGAGACGGAGAGAGACAAGGGGATCAGCCCCAGCTGGGAACTTCAGGGACGGGATATCGTGAAGAAGAGAAGAGAGACTCAGAGAGGAAAGAGACACGTGGAGCAGAGACAAAAAATTACAAGACAGGGAGGCCGGCAGGGAGATGGCCAGCGGGACCAGCTAGTGAAACCAGAGACAGGCAATGCCAACGCTTCCGATGCCCACTTTCTGTTTTGATGGGAGGCCTCAGCCAAGCCCAGCTCATCTGGTTCTATCCTGGTGCAGCTCACCCAGCTCAGTCCCAGAGCATAGACGGACGGCCACGGTGTGACAGGAAGCCGCTAAGGGGCCATGTTTGGTGATTCAGCCCACACCTTCCAACCATCACCCACACCTGGCACAGACCCCGGCCCCGAGGCGAAGCTGTCAAGGCTGGGCAGGTCTCCTGCTCTGCCCCCACACTCTGGGGCGTGGCTGCCCTTGCCTCTCCCAGACTTATAGAATACGGCAGTCTTTAATGTCAAAACTGGGGAGACTTACCCTGCCTTCTCCAGGACACTCCGCCTCCTGCTTCACACAGGACTCTGTTGGGTTTCCTGGAGACTGGCTGGGTCCAGACAGGCTCAGCAAGTCACAGCCTCCTCCTCTTCTTCCCAGAGGGCCTTCACCCCAGGAACTGTTCTGTTTAGCCATGAAGAAA